AAAAAAAAAAAAAAAAAAAAAAAAAAAAAAAAAAAAAAAAAAAAAGACTCAAGCATAAAGCAGTATGTATGTATAGCAACTAATATTTGCAAATAATTTAAAGTGAAATAATATCAGATTTATTATCCTTGGTAGTAGTAGAAAGTTCCCAATGACAAGGAAAAGGCACCTGTGGGACTACTGCCCTCAGTTGGCAGCGTCCGCGCAGAGGGCGTGGTTAGAAGGGACGGGGGGAGCTGTGTGTGTCCTGTGGCTGCCAAGGCCTGGGGGCAGAAGTTTACAAATACCCCCTGGCTGACAGGAAAGGGATTGGGGTCCTGTTCCCTATCATTAAATGTTCCAGGGACACAGGCTTGAAGACTTTCCTAGACCATGAAGATACCACCTCAGGACCCAGCAGAAACCCACGAGTCCCCGGTGCCCTGCAGGGATGGGCCTGTGGGCTGGCAGGATCCTTACAGCTTGGTGGGCTGCTCTGGGCTGGGGTGACCCAGCCCACTTGGAGGGGGCAGCACCATGGGCAGCGAGTTGCTGCCCCTCTCGTGCCAGCAGGTGTCCAGGATAGGATAGAGTTTGCCCTGGAAGTCGGCCTGGAATGTGTAGAGCGGCCGCAGGTCATCAGGGCGGTCGGCGTCGAAGAAGGTGAGCTCACCCTGCTCGTAGTGCAGGTAGACCCCAATGCGGTGGGGGTGGCCCGACACGGGCAGGGACACCCGCGGGCAGGCGAAGGCTTCATACACCCGGCCCTCCTTCAGGCCAATCAGCCACACGCCGTGCTCAGGGGACCTGTTCAGCTTGCCCTTACGGCTGGCTGTGCCCTTGATGACCCCCAGGCGCCAGTCACTCTTGCTGCCCACCACCACCTCCCAGTAGTGGCGGCCGCAGGAGAAGCCGCGGCTGGCCAGGACACAGGTGCTGTAGTCAAAGCGCTCCGGCTGGCTGGCACGCCGCTGGGCCAGGAGCCCGCACTGCACCACCGTGTTGCCCTTGGAGAGCTCCAAGAGTGGGTGGGCAGTGGCAGGGTCCAGCTTGAGAGGCTCCGGGGCTGGGGAAAAGATCACAGAGGGCCTGTGAGGCCATGCAGAGGGCCATAGACCCCCCCCACCCCCACAGAGGCTGATGCAGGTCCTGAGCTCCCCAAGGAGAAGGGCTGTGTCAGCCTCATCTCTCTAGCCCCAGGGCCTAGAAGGGGCCAGTACAGGGCTGCAGAATGAATGAATGAATGAATGAATGAATGAATGAATGCACGAGGGGATGGAGCTGTACATAAAGAAGATCAGTGGTGATTGCATCCATCAAAGGCAAAGCCAGGGTTTCTATAAAAGGGAGCCACCTTGGTGGGCTGTAGGGGCTGAAGTGGCAGGGAACACTGGGCTCAGGGGCTCTGGCCCGCCTGCCTGAGGCACAGGTGCTGTGGAAAGGACCCAGAAGACACCTGTCCCATGAGACTACAGCTCAACCCTCAGGGTTTTCTGGAGAACCCATAACAACTGCCGCTGCTGGATTTCCTAGCCTAGTCAGCCTATTCAGGGACAAACTGGCGCACCTGAGCTTTTTGCTAGCGACCAGCTGATCCGTTCACCCAGAAATGTGAATACCCCCTCCAGGGAACCCTGGTGTTCCCAGGCCTGTGGCCATGTCATTCCAGCCTCTGCTTCCGTCTTCACATGGCCTTCTTTTCTGTACATGTCCTTCTAATCTTCCTCTGCTTTGCTCTTTTTTTTTTTCTTTGAGACAGTCTTGCTCTGTCAGCCAGAGCAGGAGGCAAAGAAAGTGGTGAATCCCCTGTTTGAGAAAAGGCGTAAGACTTTTGGCACCGGACAGGACCTCCAGCCAAAAGGGCCCTCACCCGCTTTGTGCAGTGGTCCCGCTCTGTCAGGAGACAGGCATCCTCTGTAAGCGGCTGAAAGTGCCTCCTGCCATCAACCAGTTCACCCAGGCCCTGGGCCGCGCAGCCGCTGCTCAGCTGCTTCAGCTGGCCCACAAGTAGAGACTGGAGGCCAAGCAAGACAAGCAGCGGACGCTATTGGCCCTGGCTGAGAAGAAAACTGCCGGCAAGATGGATGTCCCCACTGAGAGGCCACCTGTCCTTGGAGCAGGAATTAGCAGCGGT